CAGATGTCGAAACCATCAACACGCTGGTCGAACATTGTATGTCAAAGTCGGACCCTTACCTGGCCGAACGCTACATTGTTCTTGGTGAGAATCGTGGCATCATTCCCGATGAAACGACCTACACTATGCAGATAGCATATCGAATCTCTGTGGGAGACATCGATGGAGCTAGGGCGGCCTACTTCAACCTTCAAGGTTGCTTCTCAGGCGCTGATCGCAGTGTTGCAGCCATCAATCAGCTGATACAGGCCCTCTGTGTATCAAACCAAAACCACTTTGATGAGTTGATGGCCATGGTAGACGACCTACACGAGCGCAAGGCCAACTTTGCCCCCGAAACTGTCGCAGCCGTGACTCTCCTGCATCTCCGGAGGGGCGAGATCCCAGATGCGATGGACCTCCTGCAGGTACACGCACATCAGTATGCACCAGCCCAGCGAAAGATTATCCGAAATGCGCTTTCAGTCTTTATACTAGACGGCGAAACCAGCACAGCAGATGCCTGGGACGGCTACCAGATCCTACGTAATGTCTTTGCTGAAACGCCCCGCGAAGACCGGATACCTATCATGAACAACTTCTTTGCTAGGAATCGTTCCGACATGGCTTGTCACGTCTTCTTCCACATGCGCAATCACATCAGCCCAACCCACACGGCAACTAAAGAAGTCTATGTCGCCGCCTTTACCGGCTTCGCTCGTTGTGCGGATGCCGAGTCGCTAGAACTGGCAAACAACCAGCTGAAGCTAGATCTCAACGTGGACATGGACACTAAGCTACGCAACTCCCTAATGCTCGCCTATGCGGCGACGGGGGAGAACCGCAAGGCGCTACGGTACTGGAGGGAGATTTGTGAATCAAAAGAGGGTCCTTCATACAACAGCATCCTTATCGCGTTTCGAGCGTGCGAGGGAATGCATCTTGGATCCGAGCACGCGCGGTCCATCTGGACGCGCTTGAAAGAGCAGGATATTGACATTGACAAGGCCATTTGGACCGCCTACATGTCGGCCATTACACGAAACCACAACCACGATGAGGCTTTGGCGCTTATAGAGACTGTCGAGGAGGAGTATGGCTTCAAGCTGGATTTGCAAATGTAAGTCTACATTCAACAGCCTTCCCTTGTCTCTCCTTCGTTATAGAGTAATGCTAATAATTCTACAGTCTAGGTAGCTGGTTCAACTGCACTGCCAACGGTGAGAAGCAAACACGAGTCGAGGCCTGGATCAAGAAGCGATATCCACAAATCTGGGACGAACTGGAGGCTCTGGGTCACTGGGTCACGATGGACGGGTTCGGTTATCGACAGTACAACATTAACCGCGATCTGGACCCATAAAAGAATTCTTGCAGCAAGGGAGCGAGATTATCATGTATAAAATCAAAAGCCATATTTGTGATTAATGATGTTGATGTCAACGAAGATATGATTGTGTATAGTATTGCATTATTTACTAATGACTAGTAGTAGCATTATGTACCTGTATATCCCCATACCTGTCTTTTTTAACTATCCGTGATTATCGTGATTAAATGAGCTTTTTCTCGCCAACATAGCTGAACTCTCGCTAGAGACAAGGAAGATCGCAGAAGAAATAGTAGGTGGGAATCATGAGAGTAAGGAGAAAAACAAAAAACATACCAGCCCTTCCTGGTTAAGAAAAAAGGCTTTAATCTCGATTAATAACCCGCAGACTCCTCCGCGGGTTAAGCAGCACACCTCGTGCACCCCAAAACGTCGGCTCATGCACATCCAAGAGCCCGTCAATAACGCTCCCCTCGCTGTTTCGTCGTCCCCACTCAGCTCCAGGACCTCCATACGCCGTTCCATCACCGCTGTTCCTCCTCGCATTATCAAAAGAGCCCGCAGCTACGCCGCCACTGCTACTTCCGCCTGCTGTACCAGTGTTACGCTCGGAGCTGAGTTTGCCAGACGACGACGTATACGTGCCGTGTTTCTCGGCCGTGGCATTTGCGCGTGTCTGCATGACGGCAGCGTGCTTCTTCCAGATTTGGACTTGGCGGCGGTAGATCCAGGCGCAAAAGGCAAAGTAGGCGGCTACAACGAAGAAGACGCCTGCGATGACGCCTGCAATGATGGCGCCGATGTTGGGGCCGTCGCGGGATGAGGAAGATGGGTTTCCGTTAATTACGTTGGTGATGGTTGCGCCGTCGGGACCTGTCACTGTGTAGGTTTGCGGTTTACCTGTTGCGAGGGGGCCTTGAGTGGGTGTTTGACGGGGTGCAGTGAGAGTTGCACCACCAGTGGGACCACCTCCGATAACCTGTCGTACTGGCTCAGGGACGGCGTAGCCATAGGATCCCTCGACTCCAGCGTCGACGCCAAAACCTCGCTGGTTAATTTGCTGGGCAAGCGGATTACCTGTGCTGCCCTTGTCGTCCTTGTTGTACCTTTGCAGCGCATTCTTTGCTGTAACGGCGGTGAATTGGTCGCTCCAGCTAAGACTGCTCATATTAAAGACGTAGATACCGGGCGTATCGCAGCCAAGGTTCGTGTTGTAACCTCCAAGGACGATCATTTGTCCATCCCACGCATGACACAAATGTCCAGCACGAGGTGGGGGGATACTCGCCTTTTCGGTACCTTGATCGACTTCAATCCAGGTAAACGACGGAACAGACAGGATCCACATGTCGTCTCGCTGCTTCTGGTTACCGGGTGGGGTTAGGTCCTGACCAGCAAACATGTAGATGTTGTAAGACGAGCCGCTAAAAATCAAGATTAGCACAGAGTCCCAAGTCGATCAGCGTATACGATCGGAAAAAAAAACTCACTCTGCAGCAGCCGCAACAACAGTACAGGGGTTGACACGGTACTCTGGTGTTTTGCCCGAAGTGCTTTGTTTGTACCATGTCGATGTCGCAATATCGTAGACGTCGATGGTGTTCATTTGCGTCTATATATAGTCAGAATCTTGAGTCAGTACGTCCGTTGTACGATTGAACTTACAAAAGTAGCATTGTCACCACCGGTAACACCAATCAACAAGCCTTCCTTGCCGAAACCGGGAACATAGACTAGGGCACTATCGGCACGCTCAGGGAAGGATGCTGTGTTTTGCAGTCCACCGTAAGTGACGTTGCGAAACACACCGTCAGATCCAGCAGTCTTGCCATCACCCAAAGATTCAACATTACCATTACTGTGTCCAGGGAATGTAAACTCCAACAGACTCTTCAAGTAAACCCTTGCGACCTGATTACTCCATCCCTCAGTCGTGAGAAAGTCGAGGTGGCCAGCAAAATAGAATCCCCTGCCTAGTGTGCTGACGGTGAGACCAGCGCCTTCGGCAACGCGCTGCACCGATTGTCCAGCATCCTCTGATTTATCGCCAGCCGATGTCTTTGGGTCTGGATGTTCGATCCACTGCTGGCTTCCAATGTTGTATTCCCATATCGAGTTGTTTCCTGCCTGGACGATAGGGGTATCGGAAAATTGGCCGCCATAGAGCCACAGAGAATCGAAAGACGACCAAAGCTGACCAAGCGATACAGCAGGTGGTCCGTTAGGCTTTGGGAGGCCTTTGAGAGCGGGCGAACTAATCTGCCAGGACTCAGTAAGGTCGAGAGTAAGAAAATCGTTATCTGTCGAGAGTTAGTACTGGACTCATGGAACGAGTACGGTATGGACAGAATCAAGCGAACATACTCCACGTGTTGTCCTTTTGTTGAGCCTCGGTGGTCCTACGGAAACCGTACATGTACAGTGTGCCATTGACAATGGCACTCTGGCCGCTCCATCGCCTACACGCATCAGTAGGACTATCTTCTCGCCTCATTAGCGATGAGTGTTGGATGTTGGCTTCAATCCGGTTTCCGGGAACAGCGCCAGCTCTTACACCAATGTGCTTGAGTGGGTTGAACTGCATGATTGGTAGCATCAGGGCTAGTAAAAGACTTAATAGTCCCAATCGGTAGAGTCTCGCAGGCATGACTGATTGTGTTTTGGTGGCCGTCATGGAAGACATGGAGTCGTTGGTCTCGTCCTCATCGTACACTGATTCCCATTCGTCCTCATCGTCGTCCTCGTTTTGTGTTCTTTCATCAAAAATGTCGTTCTGACTTCTAAATCGCAAGACCTTGACTGGTCGTAACCTCTTCAAAGCCTCACCATGTGCGCGCACCGGACTCCGCTCTTCCTGGATTTTCTGCTCGTCCACCAGGCCAACCTCTGTAAAGACGGACATTCGACGACAATCTGGTTGAGGCGCTGGTCGTGGTCGTACTCGCTCCATGGTTGTGGATTTGTATGGAAGTGAGACGACGGTAGAGGTTCGCAATGGACAGGCGATATAGCGCAAACGGTAACCAGATGATAGATGTTCCAAAGGGTACGAGTCGAGCTACTAGGCGGTAGCTAAAAAATCGGGGGTTGAGTCGTGTGAGGCAAGTAGGAGCGGGTAAATGTTTCAAAAAATGACGTCTTTAGTTCAGGAACCAAGGTGGCACCCTTGAACCTTTCAAACGAGTGAGGAGAGGGACCAGCCGTTGAAGTGATCGCCCCGGGACGGTGAGTGGTTGAGGGGGTGGCGTGGCAAGCGACCTTGAAGGTGGGGAGCGAACGCTGATTTGTCTAGAGTGGGTGCCGTCAAGCAGCGGTAATGACGATGTGCAAGCGAGAGTAGTAGTAGCAGGGCGAGGCCAAGGTGACACGCAACGCGGGCGGGGACAAGTAGCGAGTGGCAGATTGCAATACGTAGGAAGGATCAAATGCAGCAGCAGGGCGATGCAGGGGAATGGAGAAGCACCGCCGGGTGTGGGGGAGTGAAAGCGGGCGGGGGGTGGCAGCAGTAGTGGTGGTGGTAGTGGTAGGGTAGCACAGGTGGAACAAAGCCGGGTCAGGTTGAAGCCAGGCTCTTGTATGCTACGACAATGAGCATGCTCGTGCTCGCAACGAGAGGCCACTGCCACGGCTGACTGGCGTGCGACGGTGGCACGTCATGGAGGGGGCCGGGATAGGCAATGATCGATATAGAATGGCGAATGGCTTGCAACGGCCAAATCGGGCGGTTCAACGGCCAAGTCGGCGCCGCATTGGTCACGTCGGGCGAGGCTGGCAGTGCAACAGCGTGACATGTGCCAAGTCCCACCCGACTGTCCACCCGCCTATGCCCCATTCACCAGGCTTCACTCTACGGTAGAGTAGACCTGAGTAGAGTATTTCCCCCGTCGTCTACTTTTCAACCACTCTCCATTTCATCCCTCACCCTTAGTCCGCACCATCCGTTGTACTTGTACATACACACACACACACACACACACACACACACACACACCGTGCCCATTCCCGATCCTTCCGCTTGCATGCTAACAACTGCCAAATACACTTTGCCCGCACATCCATGCCTACACCCTCACATATATGCTCACGCTCACAACGATTCCAATAGCTTGTGCAGCCTGCAGCCAATAGTATCCAATAAACAATGAAAGCATCCAAGTGGAGATACCGCTTCGTGACCCTTGAAAAAAAAGGGTTCCATCTTTAAATCTATTTTTGCCCCCACTAAGCCCACGACGGTCCTCACTCGGCTGGCCATGGCTATGCTCTACTGCTACGCCAGCCAGCCCTGTTGTACCAAGTCTGTATATACTAGAGTATTGTGTATTGCGCGTGATGCAAATTACATATGTACAGTTCCAAGGCGCCGTCCTTCTCTAGCACTTTGTCCATGTCCAGGTGCGTCTTCAATCGGCGGCCCAATGTTACATTTCGGGTGCCAAGGGCAAGGCGGCGTATTGGCTTCGTATGCGGCATTACCATGTGCGCGAAAACGGCCCAAGCAGGCATCGCCGGATGCGGGAGGGACCACCCAAGAATATCCCTACTCACCCTCCCCCCATGCTTCAGACAGAGCACATACTACCCGACTACACCAAACCCTTTATTCGCTTTCATCCAATGCACCCCTTCCCCTACGCGGGTTGATAGTGCTCCTCAAGCTCGGCACCATGCTCTTCGCTTATGAAATCCATGACATCGTCAATCGTCCCTGGAAAGTCATCTGCGTCCACTTCTCGCCCACGCTCGCCAATCACCCCAATCAACTCATGTAGCGCTGCCTTGAGTGTTTCCGTCGACCAAGGGTACCCTTGGTCTTTGCGCACATCTTCCCAGTCAACCTCTTCTTCATAATCGTCCCTGCGATCCTGGAGCTTGAAGATGAGATCGTACTTGTCGCCCCACAGCATCTGATCTACACCCGGTCCGGCCGACGGCTCAGACACGTCCTCCGCCTCCTCGCCCGACAACGCCGCCGCCGACCCAACCACCGATTCATCTTTAGCTTCTGCTGAGCTCTGCTCACTGCCTTGTGCTTCATCAGACCCTTCTTCGTCTGCTTCATCCTGCTCCTGCTCCTGCTCCTGCCCCTGCTCATCTTCGGCCTGTTCTTCTTGCACTTGTTCCTCCTGCTCCTCTTGCACTTGCACTTCTCCAGCTTCATCTTGTCGAGTTCCATCTTCGTCTTCTTCACGACTCTCCCCTACATCCCCCTTTTCTCTTTGACCTTCTTCAGCCTCGTCAACTTCCTCAACCTCGCTTTTTCGCGATCGTTTCTTCCTCTTCTTCTTCTTTATCTTAGAATGTGAATCGCTTGGCTCACCGCTAACACGCTCTTCCTCTGCTTCCCTGTCTGCTGACTCATCCCTTGCCGTGCTTGGTTCGTCAACTTCCTCAGGCTTATCAGCTTCCGTCGCTTCGCTCTTCCGTCGTCGTCCACGTTTCTTCTTCTCCAGTGGCGGCGAAATAGCTGGTCCATTGTCCGTGCCCAGGTCCTCTTCAGGTTCCTGGTCTTGAGTCTCGTCAGACGGTTCCTCGGGCTGACCACGCTGCTTACTCATTGTAGCACCTGTCGCAGGTTCTGGTCCGTCTTCAGCCTCCTCAGGTTCTCCTCTCTCCTCCACATCTGAATCCACTATAATGTCTTGAGATTTGTACGCATTCTTATCCACTGCATTCTTCTTCTGACTCTGCCTGCGTTTCTTCTTAGTGGGCGCATCAGTCAACGCCGCGGTTGATGTTCTAGGCTTGTACTCTATCTCAATCTGCGGTGGATTGTCACGCTTCATCAATTGAGTCCATTTGACCGAGGCCTGAATGCGGCTGCGAGAGTTGCCCATTTCGCGAGCAACTTGAGGCCAGCTAATGTGTTTGTTGGTGTACGTGTCCAGTGGCGGCCTTCCTGTCTCGGCACGGTGATCTTCATCTCTTTGCACAACCGTCGTCACAGCACGGATGAGAAGATTCTCTTCTTCTTCAGTCCAGCGAGCTGTCTTTCGTTGTTCGCCGTACTGTAAGTAGTCGCGCCATCGGTTCACGCAGTCGTGCATCGAACGGTCGCCCATGGTAATCGAGATGAGCTTCCATTGGTTTGGATGAGCAGCCTGGAGATTTCGCAACTGCTGGTCCTCCTCTTCTGTCCATGCGCCACTCTTGAATTGGTGATATAATCGACGGATATGCCTCCTCATTCTGTCATGTGACCGGGTCATTGCAATGCTCTTGATTTCATCCCAGAATTCCGTGCTCTCTCGCTCATCCTCGCGGTCCTGAGGCGTCCAATCACTCTTATTCCGGTTAACACCCGGATCACGGTGAAACCTGGGGTCATACTGGTTCCATTGGATAATCTCAACAAGTTCAGAAACGTCCAACCCCTTTCGTTGTTGAAAATCTATAATGGCTCGGCGAATTAGTTCCTCTTCATCCTCGGTGAAGTCGCCACTCGTTCGCAGATCCGGAGGGTGGCCGAGGTCACGAGAGGCATTGAGCGCCCTTTCAGCAGACGAAAGTCCACTGATACTGCTGCCATTGTTTCTGCGAATCTTCATCACACCTGGGCCGTCTAAACTCCCTTTCTTCTGCTTTTTCTTCCGCACTTTCTTCTCCTTCTCCTTCTCCTTCCCCTTTTCCTTGCTTCTCTTCTTTTGTGTCTCTCCATTTCCCTCCCTTTCAGCTGGAGCATATGGGGGGTCGTCGTCATCAGTATATATGGGATCTTGCATCAGTATGTCGTCGTCTTGTTTGTTGTTGAGTAATGCATTTGGTAATTGGCCGGGTTGGCGCACCGAGGCATGCCAGTCGTAGACATCGCCATTGCTCGTTGTCTTCTTCTTCTTTTCACTACGCCTCTTCTGAGTCGAAGCTACTTGTACCTGTTCGCCTTCCTCTCCATCTCCAGACTGCCCAAATCCATTATTCGCAGATGGCGCAAGAGCTTCACCAGCCCCGTCAGTAGGCTCTGTTTCGTCATCTGGGATATCATAGATGTCCTTGATCTTTGCAACAGGCGTATGTGGCTTTTTTACTCGCTTCAGTTTCGTCTTTTTGGTTTGCTGTATATCGGTATCGTCATTGGGGCTTGTTTGTATAAGATCTTGGAGGGTAGTTGCCGACTTGGGTGTGCCAATCTTCCGCCTTTTAGCCGGTGCAGGCGTTGCGTCTACAGCTCCTGGTGATCCTCCGTCTATATCCCTGGTTCGTGGACGTTTGCGCTGAGAAGTCTTGTGCGAAGGCGAGATTGGGTCTTCTGTGCCTGTGTTTGTGTCTGCGAGTTGGTCCACAGTCTCACCGAAAATAGCATCCTGAGCAATCTCATCTCTCTTCAATTGCCTGCTCTTCTTGTACGTGCGCTTGGTCTTGGTGACACTGGAAGGCACCATGTAGCTCGATTTCGGCGACGAAGCGGGTGCGCGGACGGGAATAGCGGCGACCTGAGAATCAGGCACGTCAATTGTAGGCATTGCTTGCGATGTACTCGGCACCATCTGAAGGCTTCCTGACACTGGGTCGGTGATCTCTTCGGCTTCTGGCTGGGTCGCTGGGAAGGGAAATGGCGAGGATGTTGGAGTTGCAGGTGGACTGGCAGCATTCCGCGTGTTCGCAGATGACGTCTCGGGGTTCTTCTGCGTCACCTTCAATTTGTTCTTCTTGCGCTTTTTCCGCGCAGATGCGGGCTTGTCGTGAGCGTCGTCGGACGGCGGAAGCTGTTCAGTGGCATCATACGTGGGGTTGGCGCGCGCGCCCTCATCCATGAGCTGCTGAGATGCGGCTACGTCATCCATGTCTGGGCCTATACATTGAATGCATTAGGCGCGTGTTTGTATAAAAAAAATCAAGCTGAGTAGACATAGTCTCTTCACGCGTAAGATTCGTGTACTCACTAGCAAAGCGGGACTGGGACTCCGGGCTACTAGGGGAAGGTCCGGCACCAGCGTTGACATCGCGACTTAAGGCAGGGACAGGTTGTGAGGAAGAAATACCCATCCTTCGCTGCAAGTCGTTGAAAACGGCATATCCAGGCCGGGTCGTGACCATCGGAGCCATGGGTATATTTTCAAAAGTCGCGGCTTTGCGATAATATGTTCAACTTTGGCAAAGCGCGTCGGGAGACTTTTTGGACGTTCCTGGCTAGCACGCATCGGGCTAGCCCGCTCGTGCTTCACCAATCACTACTCTAATCCTGCCTATGTACAAATCATCCACACCTTCATACCCTGTTCACTCTCCCTTTCCCATTAACTAAATACGATCCAGGTCCAAAACCCCACCCCTTCTAACATTAACACCAGGACACCAATACCGACCCCATCCCCCACGCGCTTGCTTGTGTGTCCCTCAGTCACCCTCTTATCAGAACTCATAAAGATACACACTAACACTGCTGTGATACAACCAAGTAGACAAAGTGCGAGTGCCATCAAAATGCGAAATGTGTTTGGTGTGTGCAGGAATTCGATTGTTATGATCGTCGGCGGTGGAAGTCGGCTTGAGTCCCTCACATGTGGATATGTCTGCATAACGGAGTTTGATGCTGCAATCTGCCTCGCCCAGTGAACCCACATATATCTTTCTTGCCCCATCTGTGGCTTCCTCAGTAGCTTCATCAAGCCTTCTTCTGTCAGCGGAGGTCTGGCTTCTTCAGAGATGCATATCCTATCTCCTGCTGCTAGCAATCCTTCTGTAGTCGTCTGAGTCTGAGCCCCGCTCCATATACTGGTTTGACTGAGGCGTACGGCACATAGCCTGTAAGCGCTGAATGTACGAAGGAACCAAGATCCAGCTAGCTTACGGTAGCTAGCCTGGAGGTCTTCTGCAAAACGCTTGTCGTCGAATGCTGTTGCCTCTCCAATCGGCATTTGTGTCTTCTCGGGATAGCTGGAGTTATGGGGTGAAGATACGTTCGGCACGACGAAGCGAACTATTTTTCTCCTCTTTCCATCATCACTGTCCCTCATCCAGCCGTATTTCCGCAAGCTTAGCCAGATCATACTCTCAACACTAGCGCTCTCAGGTCCAAAATTGTTTCCAGTCAACCCCTGTGATTTTATATTTCTTTCAAGCCCGCTTCTTTGCAAAAGCTCCTCCTCACTGACAACAAGGCCAAGGATACATTTGCTTTTGCAGTCGCCAAATGTTGTTTGGACTTCTCTATTAATAGTAATATCATTTAGCTTTGCGTATTCATCTATCCCCCGGTTGTCGACACTAAGATAAGAACAGCTTCGTCGAGTATGCGGCTTGGATTTTCTATGCTTATTCTTAGTCGGAAAGGGATGCTGTGTCTCAGAAAAACGAGATGGTATATAAACAAGGCGATCGCCATTGGCCGACAGTACAGATGACAACGTTGTGCGACAACTACTCGGGCAGGACGACGACTTTGGAAATTCGGAAGTAGTAGCTGATTGTAGGTATGTGAATCCATGGGAAGCCACTGGCAGGAGATCGAGATTGCGTGACTCGAGTGCATGCATGGTTGCCATGTGGACGTTGATGGTTGAGTCGGCCATCATACTCTCGGACGCAGTTTGTCTGTGATAGTTTTGAGGTGTCGGACTTAGTGGTAACAGAGTACGAGAGTTCTCTTCATCTTTTGAGGCGAGATATAAACGAGATGTCTGCTTGTCTCCGTTTAAGGATACGCAGTCAAAATAGTTGCTCCTAATTGAATGTCTTGAGCTGTCGATGCTCGGGCTATGCTGTACTAGGCGTACAGTATCCTTATCTAGACGGAGCAGAGATATCCTCCTTGCTCTTTTTGGACCTCTCTCCTCGTTCTCAAAGAAGCCCGGTACGCACTCAACGTTCGTTTGGTCGTCTTCGATACTAAACTCTGGCCTGTGTATGGAAGCTTTTGTAGGGCTTGACAGTGATGTGATTGAATTTCTTTTCCTGCTGTCTCCTTGCTTTATCCAGTCCATTTGGTCGGGTGTAAATGTTTGCATCATGTTTCTGACGTTGTCTTCCCAATCCTGGTCGGATGAATTGTCGGAGACACGAGCCCCAAGTACCAACTCTAGGCTCACAATGTCGCTCATATCAAGGCGTATAGAGCCTCGTCTCGCAGGAAAGGGATCAACTATTTGTGGTAATGATGCTGGACTAGAAGAGAGTCTCGCTGACGGAAATTTGTGTGATATTGTCTGAATCACGTTTGGGTGACGCGGCGACACCACTAGAACCATTGGATCGTATTTGAAGCTTGAGACATGCGAGGACGAGTGTTCAGCAACGGAAAATTGCACAATTGTTGTTTTCATACTTTTGTAACTAAACGCGTAGGTCAGCCAGGTCTTTCACTTCCAACGCACGGAAACCTTATTCAGGAAGTCCCTTCCAGTTGATCATCGCTCGGCGACCTGTGCAAGACGTGGTGATGAGACAGGTGATGAAAGAAGGAAATAAGCACTGACACAGAACAAAGCAAGAGTCGAGGTGTATTGGCGCATTACGGTAGTGGGTGCTTTGCAGAGCTCGGTAGGAAGCGTATAGAACAAAGGACAGTCGCGCGAACATACGAATATGAACCAAGTTACGGTTGCGGTTGCGCCTGCGTTCTATTTGTCTCCCTTGTTGAGGTCAGCGCGTGCGTCGAGCACACCAGAGGTAGAGCACAGAGGTAGAGCACAGAGGTAAGAAACGGTGGTAGTGGATAGTAATAGTTCTTATTGGAGACACGTAGAGAAGAATTCATCTCGAAACCCCCTTGCTCTATAGCAATGTGTTGCGGCGAATCTAAAAACGCCATTGCAATGCCACCAACGTGTTGATATCAATAAAATATGACTGTAATCGGAAAATAAAATGTCCGTCGTAGAGGATACATTTCGGAGTGCACGGGGGCTTTCATTCGACGTCTTGGTCGAACATCTTCGTCATTGCTTTCTGTGCCAGCTCTACGCCAGCAAATGTAGCCGCATTTGCAGGTACTGCTCGTGCCATGGCGGGTCCGATACCAGGGAAGAAAGCTTTGAGGCCACCACTTGCGTGAATGCCTTTGATAGTTCCGCTAATTGTTGGTCGGCCTTCTGCACTTTGCAGGCGGGACTTGATGGTGTCAACTGGGAACACTGGTATCCACATGGCAATACCTGCAGCACCACCAGCGACCATTACGGCACCCATACTCAATGAACCAGGCTGCCCTGTAACTGGATCCTTTGGTGTAAGGTTGCGCTTGACAATTTCGTATGTCGCGAAATACAGAGCTGAGCCTGGTCCATCACGCGCCAGTGTCATGGCAGAACCACGGTAGACTGAGCGGATACCACCCTCCTTGTAGAGTTGCCGCACAACATCGAGTCCGCCAGAGTATTTGGGCTTCTCACCAGGTGCCAGCTGTTTTTGACCTTGGATCTGTAGAAGCACTTTCACGCGCTCAAAGGGTGCGGTAATGATTGTCATGGGGATTGCGCTGAAGAAGCCGGCGGCGGAGACCTGAGCGACGCTGTACTGGTTGTTCTCAACCTTTGAGACACTAGATACAAGCTGCTTGCCGAGATCGTAGCCCCAAAATGAGACGGCAACTGTTCAGCGTCAGCCTTGTTGTTCCAAAAACCATCCTTGGATCAGCTGGCTTTCTAAGTACTTACACATTGGTGTAACACCGACAAGAGGCGCAGAAACACCCGCATATAGACCCCTAGCCACACCTTCCTTTGCTATTGTCTTCTTCACAACATCCATAGCTCCGCTGTATACGCCCTTCTCCGCTGTTTGCATGCGCACCTTCACCAGGTCGAAGGGGTGTCCCACGATGACGGCGCAAACACCTCCCACGCCTCCAGCTATCAGCGCTCGTAGCGACTGAAGCGAAGACTTGGTCGCCACTTTAGCATCTTCTTTGAGCTCCGCTTTGGAGGGTAGCTTCTCGATAACGGCGTCTGCGGTGCTTGACATGTTGGTGGGAGGCTTTGGTGGGGCGTTGTCAAATGGTCCGAGTAACGATTGTATTTGCTAGAGGTGGTTTGAAGACGGAAAGAAGATGGCTCAAGCAAACTGTGAGCTATGCGATCGCTCCCACAGCAATTTTGAGAAATGGGAATATGCGCAGTGAGGGAGAGAGCGAATTTAATTTCAGCATGTGAGCAGTTCCAACACTACGTCGGAGCTGGGCCTACGTCGGTCCAGGGCTCGGCTGGCCATTTGGCGAGCCGAGGCAGATCGCGGCCGAACACCCGCAACCCACCTTGTGAGCATGGAGCACCATCCACGTGAGTCGAGGGCGCTACCAGTACCGTGTAGGGCATTTTGATTTGAAAAACCCACGTTGATGGATATTGAGGCGTCAAAAATGCTACCCCGCCCGCACGGACGTCGTCACCACAGATGTTGCTCCGGGCCAACGGGTGACGGCATGAGATATTCTGCATATGCACAAAAGAAATGTACGCATTATTTCTCGCCCTGCTAGGTCTGGTCTGACTACCTGCACATAGAGGCTCTGCTGAGCGTCTCATACTAGCCTGCTGACCGTTTCAAAGTCGGTGGCATGTGAAAGTTTGGTCACTAGTAGTAATACAACTATACTCAACTAGATATTGAAGGTGCTAGGAAGTACTTGGTCCGTTTTTTTGGTCCCTGACCATTCACTTAGCGCGATTAACCAGAGTCTTCATCTTCTTTGTTTCACATTCTAGTGTTAATTAAAACTATGCGATACTGTCATTCATTCATCAATCCTTCCTCACCCTTGCGCATATTGACATTTACTATTCACACCGAGCTAACATGGCCACGAAGTTCACGCATTAGTTGAACATAGTTTGGATAGTCTCAGCAGCACCTTGCCTTCTTTGCTTGTTATAAGCAAGGAGTATCGTAAGTATCAAAATAGGAAGATTCTTGTAGAAACCAAACGGTTCATGGATGTTTGGCGTGGAATGAGACGTTGCCACAGAAAGTAACTCACTTCCAAAATCATCAAGTTCAACCCGACCTTACATACGAACCCCGCACTTCCAGCTTTCTACAGACACATTAGCCCCACCACAGAGGTCCACATTTCTCATCCACAATCTGGAAGATATTGGTATATATCCCGTATCTACTTCAATCTTGATGGTTATTTCTGTGTAGTATAGATATTTTGCAACGCCAATTTTCTTCATCAATTGACACAATCACGCAGGCACTTTGGCGGAGTGGTTAACGCGCTGGCCTGCTAGTCCTCTGTATTGAGGGAAGTTAGCCAGTTCCTTCGGGAGCGTGTGTTCGAATCACACAGGTGTCGGTCTCAGGCGTTGTGGCGGAGTGGTTATCGCGCAAGACTAGAAATCTTGTTCCTTCGGGAGCGTCAGTTCGAATCTGGCCAACGTCGTCTTTTTTGCCATGTCTTTTTGCTCCGTCTCATTCCAGGCCTTGGTTCATGAGATGCATGTGTGTAATTTTCATTTTTGTTTGTGTTGTGGTACGGTGAATCTATACTCAGCTTTAGGCTGGCTCTTTGCGGCATCATCAGTGCTGCGTGTCTGGCATAATGGTATGTAGATCAAATTAAGTATTGTTTTCTGATATGCAGTGTGATACCCTCTGTTCCAAATTCAGCCAATGGTACAAATGACCTTACCCTTTGTCTTGTTTTCCTCCAACAACCTTTGCGCATCTTGGATCTGCTCCCATGGCAGAACCTTTTCTATATAGAGCTTGAATGTGCCATCCGTCATCTTCGGCAATGCATGCTCTACGAGCTGGTCTCTGAGCTTGCCCTGGTACGCTTCATCGCGACTCCTCAGACTGCTGCCGACATAGCTACACCTCTTCCTAATGAATGCGCTGATATCCGTTCCCTCTGGCAATTTGGTACCACCCATGAAACCTAGGTTCACGATGATACCGTCCTTGGCTACAGCCTCGAGGTTCTGCTGGAAGTATGATGCGCCGATGAAATCGACGATGATGTCTACACCCTTGTTATCGGTTGCTTCCATCACCTCTTCGACCCAGTTCTGAGAAGTGGTATTGAATGCAGCGGTAGCGCCCAGCTCCTTCACGGCAAACTCGCATTTGGAATCCTGACGGGCGGTGGCATAGACGGCAGAGGCGTTATCGGCACGGGAGAGTTGAATACCGGAAATTGAGACGGATGACGCTGCTGCGTGCCAGAGGATGGACTTTCCGGCACTGAATTGGCCGATCAGGTACATGGCTTGGGTGGCTGTTATCCATGTCTGTAGTTCATACGTCAGTTCATCAACCTCCCTTCTGCAAGCGGGATGAACCTACCTCGGGAATTCCAGCACATTGCTCCCAAGTCAACTCCTTTGGTTTCCTCACCAACATATGTGTTGAGACTGCGATGTACTCTGCGTAAGCACCTCCATATGCCAGGCCAAACACTTCATCTCCCTCCTTGAAGCCTTCTTTTCCACCGCCTTCTTCGCTGAGTTCCGCGATTGTACCCGAAAACTCAACACCTAGGATTTTGGAAGCACCAGGCGGTACAGGGTATTGGCCCTCACGCTGCAGCAAATCCATGCGGTTCAGGCCGAAGGCCTTGATCTTGACAAGCGCTTGCGATTTTCCAAGTTTCGGCTTGGGCACGTCGGCGATGTGCAGATTCTCGAGTGGACCTTTGCCATTCTTGATGTCTGAGGACTCTTAGTAAAGTAACGTTCTGGGATGCACGGAAGTGTGTACGGACCGACTGCGCGCATTGTGTCACTCATTTTGGTGGAGCTTGGTTGTGCCGATTATCTTATTTAGAATACAAGCAAGAACTACAGTGTTCAAGACGTAAATCACACGATTGAGCTGCACCAAACAAGAGCTAGAATATGTACTTGCTCCTGTTTCCGAAATCATTCCGTCCGCTACCGAAATGATTGGTAATGACGTCTGAGCGGGGCAGCTCCACGACTCATGGAGCTAGCAGCTATAGTGGGGTGCATTGTACCGGACAACATAGGCAACGGGAGAGAGGCACTTGATTGTGTATTTTTGTATCATACAATCAGCTTTGCTGGTGCGTGTTCAAGAATAAACACGTATGAGGCCAGGGACTTCTGAAATTCCACACATTGTGGAGCATAACTGAAGA